AAAAAAAAAAAGAAAGAGGGAAAGGATAACACTGTTCTAACAGAAATGTACTCATTACCTGACATATGTAACTGTAATCTCTCTGTACATCACCTTTACAATAAAATTTTTAAAAAAATTAGTGGGCCCTCACTGGAGTTTGACTTGATGCTGGGGTCTTGAGACAAAATGTTTGGTGAGAGACAAATCCTATGTAAAGATCAGCATTTAGACTCATGGCTATCAGTGCTGGGTCTTCTGGAGCCAGTCAGGGGTCAGAAGGGAGCTCCTCTTTCTCGTCTTTGTATCTGAGAAGACAAATTGCAAATATTGAGACTCTCTGTTTTTCCTTTGGGGAATAGCAGGCTGGATTGGTCTTGCTCGAATTTTGGAGTCCAAACTAATGGTTGACTTCTGTAAGTGAAAAGCAACTTCTTCCTTTTCACCATGGGAATAACAATTGTTACCTCTGCAGAGCTTTGGGAACTTCTGTGACACCACAAATATGAAGTACTGTTTCTTGCCTATTTCCTAGTACCTTTCTCTTGTCCCTTGCCCCACCAGTCATCCTACTTTTTTTTTTTAAGCTCAGCAATTTATGCTGATCAATATATTCTTTTCAACTAATGACAGAAAGTAGGTCTTACTTTTCCCCTGAGATCCTGTTTAAAGATGTTTGCTTCTCTGTAAATGATAGTTTTCATGTTCTATAGGTGAAGTGTGGATGTGATTATTTTTAAAATTATTATTATTACTATTATTATTATTTTGTTGGTCATGGGGCTTGAACTCAGAGCCTGTGCACTGTCTCCACTTCCAGTTTTTGAGAAGTTCATTGGAAATAAGAGTCTCATGGACACTTTTCTATCTGAGCTGGCTTGAAACTGCTATCCTTAGATCTGAGGATCTGAGTAGATAGGATTACAGGTGTGAGCCATCAGTACCCAGCTTAAAATAATGTTCATTAGCATTCATTAATAGTGTAAGGGAGTTTCATTGTGATCATTCTACAGTTGCATACAGTTGTACTTTTGTAACAAGAACTTAAAGATTGCTTTTGCTGGGCCCACATATTTACTAACAGCAGAAGAATGCTTAGCATTTCTGCCTCCAGTTGCACATGTCTCAGCTCTAAGCCATTCTGTGGTAAGTTTTCAGTCACTTTGGAATTTGGGAAGACAGGGCTGACTGAGGACATCTTTATGACATCTTGCATTCCCTAAGGAACAATAAAACCTCCTCAGGATAGACCATCCAGGAGGCAACAATAACTTGTTTATCTTGATCAGTGATAATAGCCATAATTACTTCTCTGGAACTTCTCCCCAAATAAAAACTAAAACAAGGACCAACTGAAGTACCAGGCCGAAGACCTCCCAAAGACCACCAGGGAGCTGTCGCTGATGTAAATGCACAAGAGTCGTTTATTCCAGCTGGAGCCAGACTCACAAACTCCTGAAGCAGCAGGTCAGAAATTGTGAGCCCCGACCCTTCCTCTAGCAGGGTTTTTGTAGGGTTTTTAGGGACTTCTAGGTGTCATTACAACACTTAACAAATCATATCACACCGTGGGAAAATCATAAAATAATTCTAAAAGATGATTAGCTAACCAGTATCGGGAACCAACCAGGTACTGGGGATTGGCTGGTTCATGGGGTTGATGCTCTTCAAAATGATTGGCTAAAGCAGATGGTCTGAGCTGCAACCAAGTGGTCTTTCACTTGTAGGAACATCTGGAACTTTGGGTTTTTCCTGTTATCTGCTGATTAGCTGTAGTTAGTGCTATTTACCGTAAAGGGTTGTTCCTGGAATTTGGGCCCAAGGGCATCAAGGGGAGTTGCTGACACATTTCCCGGACAAAATGGAATCCAAACCTAAAATTGCTATATTTTGGTCATGCTTCACATTCCCCCCTCTACTAGTGACTAAGGGGCCAATCATGGTCCCTTGATATCTGTTCTATGTTAACTTCATCTTTGGGCTGATACTGAGATCTGAGAACCAGTACCCAGACCACATTAACCAACTCTTTTACAAAGGTTAATAGCCTGTTAATCATGCAAGGACCAATTTTGAGTATCAGAATTAACAATAATCAGGGGTCCAGCCAGAGTCATTAGGGATGTAAAACCATCCAGTATCCAGGTTGGTAGTGAGACGTTTACAAAGCCCTTGGTGCAATTTTTCTAAGACCCTCGTGTTTTCTTCTACCAGTCTTGACTGTATATCACAGTTAACTTAATTTTATGCCAGATGTATTCATAAACTCCTCCAGGTGACTGTCAGGCTGCCATTGAACTTTACCCATTAGGGTGTGCAGCAACAGCAGCAGGGTCTCTCAGTGGCTCCAAGGGACTGTCACACCTTGTTCTGAGCTACAAATTCCTATACAGACTGGTTAAGGATACAGTACATAGACTTGGCAGGCTGTGGCTCCACTGGTTTTTAAGACCGTTTAGACAATGACCTAGGACAATTTACCAAGATGACAACATTTTTTAAAGTAGATAGTTCTTTTAATAAGGCTGGGATTTTACTACTATTTCCCATGCCTTTTCCTTCTGTCTATTTTGCTACATCTTTTCAAAAGTGACTCTGGTCCCTTGATGTTAAAAGGGAATGATGGGCGAAGGTTCATCTTCTGTAACTTCTTCAAACTTCTTCAGGGGTGTTGATCCTACCTAGCCAGTAACCTATAACCTTAGCCTATTTACAAAGAGGTTACTAGGGTTAGATATCATTAGGAACAATATTTTAACTTTTGATAAATGCACAGACCTTTTCTCCGGTTACAGTGGTGTAGCTGGTTTAGCACTCTGGTTTGCAAAAGCATCTTTCTGGATGAGTTAGGAATGTGATCTCTAGTGACCCTAACCATGCCTAAGTTACTCGTGCAGGCCTTCAGACAGATATCAATAGAAACACACTCTCAGGTTAATAACCCCCTTTTTTTTTTGAACAGATGAATTTCATATAGCTGGTGTCAGCTTAGTTACTGCCAATTAGGGCTTTTGGCACATACATGGGGTTGGGATTTAAACTATCCCCCACATTTTATAACTTTAGCTTTTTAGTACTATCATAGATGACTGTCAAGTTCCTGTCCCTTACAAGGTAGATAGTCATGGACAATAGGCATGCTTAGAAACTTCCCATGATCTCCTGGCTCTGAACAATTTTTGAAGGGCCACGCACAAATGACTCTAGGATCTGACATTATTTCTGCCATCTAAGCAGTGGCTTACTGCCTCTAGATGCTCCTCCATTGCTTTCATCCCAGGAGTGTCTTCTCCACACTGGGATAAATGCCTCATTGGCATTTCCTTTAGTTGGCCACTGGACTTGAACTCGAAGCCTGAGTGTTGTCCCTCAGCTCTCCAGCTAAAGGCTAGCACTCTACCACTTTGAGTCCTAAAGCAACTCTGCTTGCTCTTTCAGCACTCTGCTGGCTAATTAGAGATGACAATCTTACAGGGACCTTTCTCTGCCCGGGCTGGCTTCAGACCAGCTTGCAGATCAATGAGTCTTATAAAAGGCCATTTTACTCCAATTAAAGGCAACAAGGTAGTCAACATAGAAGTCACTTTTAAGCATGCTCTTACCTGAAACTTATTAAAAGCCAAAGTTACATCTGACAAACTTACAAGAATCCTCACTCCTTTTTGTGGGCCTGCTGGGAACTGTTACAAAAACCCCTATAAGAGCAAACTGAAATAGCAATTAAGCAATTATTTTGGTAATCCTAATTTTTCTTTTTTGTACTTTGAGGCAAATGTTAAGAACAATTTTACTTTTAAACTTTATATCCAGAAGTCCATTCCTAATTTTCTTTCAGCCTTTTATTAATCTCTTTTAATATTTTATACTTCAGTTTTCATTTGCATTTTGAAAAGATCCCTTGAAATCTTGAGGCCAAGTGTCACTCATTGCCTCTTTGTCGCTTGTTTTAAAACAGATACACATTAAAACTTTTAAACTCAAATGACAGTTTTTCCTTAATGCAAAAATTACAATCATCAGCCGGGCACTGGTGGCTCACGCCTGTAATCCTAGCTACTCAGGAGGCTGAGATCTAAGGATCACGGTTCAAAGCCAGCCCTGGCAGGAGAGACTGTGAGACTCTATCTCCAATAAAACCGGAAGTGGCGCTGTAGCTCAAGTGGTAGAGCGCTCGCCTTGAGCTGAAGAGCTGAGGGACAGCGCCCAGGCCCAGAGTTCAAGCCCCACGACCGACAAAAAAAAAAAATTACAATCATCACCACTGTACCAAGAAGCTAGACTTAACACCTTTATGCCTTAAAAAAAATCCAATTGCAGAATATCACTGAGAGCAAATCACATTATACAAATAAACTTTTTTAACCCTCTTTTTAAGGCCTTTTTAATTTTAATAATTCAAGGGGCAGTTTTAGCAATACCAATCAGATCACCACATCACTCATTTTTACCATCATGTTTCCAGTGTTTATCTGCAAGGAAAAGAGACAGGACAAAGATGGGCCACTTGGCCTCTCCTATAGAATGGGCACACACCCAATCCAACTCTTTAGGGTTAGATGAACTGCCTTTGTGCCAGCTTGCCCTCTTCCACCATGCGTGGACTCCCCCAGGGCCTATCCCACCATGCATGACCAGCTGAGCTGCACTTCTGCCTGTTCACCCCTCACCCAGAAACATAGGTCTTCTGTTGGCTTTTAAGTTTTTCCCTTTTCTTTTCCATTGGTCCTTGAATGAAATACACAGTTTTAGACAGACAGAACAGGTAAAGTCTTTGACAGTGTTAAACCTTTACATTTAAATTTCTAATATTTATCCCAAATTTTAGCAAAGGGAACTAAATCCCAAACAGCCAAGTAACTTGTTTTGTTAAGCCAGATAGCTTGATTACAGTGTAAACAGCCTTATGCATTCTAAAATACCAGATTTTTTTTTGGGGGGGGTGGTTGGTTGTGGGGCTTGAACTCTGGGCTTCTGGGCTTGGGCTCTATCCCTGCACTCTTCAGTGCAAGTCGAGCACTCTACCGCTTGAGCCACAGCGCCACTTCTGGTTTTCTAGTGGTTAATTGGCAATAAGAGTTTCATGGACTTTCCTGCCTGGGCTGACTTTGAACTGTGATCCTCAGATCTCAGCCTCCTAGTAGCTAGGATTACAGATGTGAGTCACTGGCACCCGGCTAAAATATCAGATTTTAAGGTACCAGATTTCTAATTTTCAAGTTAAAGAATCCTTAAAAAGCCATTTAAAACATTGTGAAAATTCTTAAAATATTTTTTGGTAATGTCCAAACGTCATAAGCTTTTGAATGTTAAACTTACCCAATTGTTACAGCATGCTGACAATTTTTATCTTGAACATGTTCACACACTCACACAGATCTTAAAGTGTGCAAAAATGAAAATCAGTTGTATGTACATTTTCTAAAATTTAGTGGCAAGAGATTTTTTTTTTTGCCAATCTTACTCTTGCAGATGACAAAAATTTAAAACAAGACTTTAACAAAGCACTTTTTCTAGGCCATATTTTTTTTTCCAGGGCTTGCTTGTTTAGCCAGGTATTTTACCAATTGGCCTTTTTGAATACCTTCAGTTGGAGGAAGGCTGGGGGGAGGGGTCACCTGAAACTCAACTGGCATGATTTTTACCCAATTTTAGGCAGGAACATTTTACAAAAATGTTACATTGTCAGGACACACCTTCTACACCTTCCCTTCTGGCAGCCTTCTTCTGCAGCCTGAGGCATGCAGAGAACCAAACCGGTCCAGCAACCTTCCATGCCCCACAGGGAGGGGGAGATAGCAGGTCTGTGACTGGGCCCAGCCTGAGGCTGGAACTTTATTCCCCAGAGATATTCAAATAAATAACAAAAACACAAATAAACACAAAAACCAAGGATCCACATTTAAAACTGGTACCAGTTCTAAAATAGGACAAGACAAGACAACAACTGAAGGCTAAGTTGGGGACTAATGGGCCCCCAGCTCATCCCTACCAGAACTCTGCCACTCTCACTCAGCAAGCTGAATGCAGAGTCTGCTGAGTGAGCCTGCCACTCTCACCCAGAACTTCCCTACCTCAGAAAACATAGAACAGAAAATACACCAAAATAAACATGACAGACAAGTGACCACAAAGACAAAAATCAGGTCTGAGTGAATGGGGCAACATCTCTCTAACATTTACAAGTGGGATCAAATCCATTTTATCAGGGGACTTGAACCCTCTCTACTCACCTCTAGAGGATTTTTTTCTTTTAGATTCCTACAAATGTTGACTCGGGCCTTCCAAGGTGGAAGAGAATTCCCAGTCTTCTTGGGGCAAGGGAAATGAGTCCCTAGCAGCTGTCCCCTCAGACTGGCAGATTCTCCCCCCTGCTAAGACACTTCCCCCCTTTCCCCTCTTAAGGTCTGAGGCTAAGATCTTGTTGGAGCCACTCAGCACTACAGAATTTCCCTTTTCTGACCTTCACACTTAAGTCCTGTCCTCTCCTTTCAACCTCTTTAAATGGTCAGTCAAAAGTGAAAGGGGAGTGGTTTGAGTCTGTTCCATATTGTCTGTCCCACAGAAAGATAAAGCAACTGACAGACACAAAAGCAAAACTGGCACACAAAACGACAAGCAACAAATTCCTCCTGTCAACTGGAGGTAACTACCAAAGGGGGTGTCAGCCTCACACCAAACCAAAGGGGGATGTCAGCCCCATCAGAATTCTCAGTGAGGAGCCCATGCTCCTGCTCCTCCAGAGTAAGGGGCTCACCCTCTCCAGAATGAGGAGCTTTATGCTCCTCCAGAAGGGCCTGGAACTTCTTCCAGGACCCAAGCCAGCTGGCAAACTACTACTGCCTAGGTGCTTCAGCCTATTCAGAGTTGGGCCCCAGAAACAGAACAGTAACACAACACACAGACAGACTAGACTAACACGACAAACTGACCGGTGTCCCACTCTCTGGTTCTGGGTCCTTGCATTTGGGGGATCCCGGACGAGCCCCCAGCTGAAGTACCAGACCTAAGACATCCTCCCTCCCCCCAAGACTACCAGGGAGCCGTCGCAGAGTGGTTTATTACAGCTGGAGCCAGACTTACAAACCTTCCCTGACACAGCGTGTCAGAGTTCAGAGCCCAACCCTTCCTCTAGCAGGGTTTTTTAGGGGTTTTAGGGACTTCTATGCATCATTGCAACACTTAACAAATCATATCACACCGAGGGAAAATCATAAAATAATTCTAAAAGATGATTAGCTAACCAGTTGCAGGAATTGACCAGGTATTGAGGATTGGCTGGTTCATGGGGTTGATGCTCTTCAAAATGATTGGCTAAAGCAGATGGTCTAGCCACAACTGAGTGGTCTTTCACTTGCAGGAACATCTGGAACTTTGGGTTTTTCCTGTTATCTGCTGATGAGTTGTAGTTAGTAGAATTTACCGTAGAGGGTTGTTCCTGGAATTTGGGCCCAAGGGGATCAAGGGTTGTTGGTGACACATTTTCTGGACAAAATGGAATCCAAACCTAAAATTACCATATTTTGTTCAGGCTTCACACAACCAGGCCACACATTAACAAGGGTTGTTTAATAATTATGCATGTCTCTCTCCTCATTTCCTCAACTTTTTGTCTCTAAAAATCTAAAGCTCTGTGTGTATACACTGAAGATGGCTTAAGATGTACGTAAGTGTTATCTTCATATGGCTGCCATATAATAAATCTCTTTGCTCTTCACCTCACAGTGTTTTTTGGGTTTCATTATGCTCTTTACCCCCTCTCCTCAATACCATCTCCTTCCCCATCCCCACCTTCCTAAATAGTTCCCTGTTTATACTCATGACTCACTACCACCATTATTTTAGGTCTAGATCCCACATATAAGTGAAAACATACATACTTGACATGTTTGAACTTGGCTTTTCTTGCTCAAGTTTGGTTTACTCCTATACTCTAGAAAGAGTTAAACTAGAAAATTTGTACTTACTGACGTGCAGTGTAGACTCAAACTGATAAAATCCTATACTAAAATTAATTGGAAAGCTGGATCATGGAAGAAAATTATATCCATGAGGATTTTTATTTTAAATGTGTTCTTTCATGGGTTTCAAGAAACCAGGCCAGGAATTGAAGTTTGGTGATATTTACCAGGCATAGCATATTCAACTTTTAAGTGGGAAAACTTATTTTTTAATTAATGGAAGCTCAAATTTAATTTAAAAATAAACTTAAGCAATGAGTAGATCTCTCATATAAAAGAGAAAGGATTTAGGCCATGTTCAAAAAGAAATAGGAACCAGAAGAGAACTATGTAACAGGATTGCTTTTCTTTTCTGTGTATTTAATATGGGTTTACATTCCTTCCAGTTATATCTTTATCCTATACCAATAACAATACTCAAATACCATATAACCTGTTAGTAGCATGTCATAGAAACTCAAATTATTGGGATTTTTGTCGCAGTGCCTTCCTTCCTTTCTTCCTTCTTCCTCCTCCTTCTTCTCTCTCTCTCTCTTTCTTTCTCTCTTTCTGTGGTGCTAGAGATACAACCTAAGGCATCATACTAGGCAAGCATTGTATCACTGGATTTCTTGTCTTCCTGCTCAGTCATACTGAGCATCCCTCAACCCTATTAGGAGTTTTTAAATTGAACTTTGTTCTGATTGATTTCTCAATTACACATTTTCAGTGAGCCTTGGCATCTACAATGAATGGCAAACAACTGCTACTCTCTGAGCATGCAGAATTTGCAAGGCCTAGTGTTAGATCTGGCACATACATTTTCTTTCAACTTTAACAAAATATGTTACTTGTATTTTGAAAATTGTCCACACCATAATAATAAAGCCCAGTCATTTATCACAAAACTGTATCTGTATAACAACCCTCTCTCCCCTCACCAGACTCCCTGCCCATACTGCAGAAGCCTTCACTATGGTGTGTGTGTGTGTGTATGTGTGTGTGTACACGTGAGTGCACATGCATGCGCACGCACCTGCCAGTTCTGGGGCTTGAACTCAGGATCAGAGCAACATCCCTTAGCTTTTTGGCCAAGGCTAAACACTCTACCACTTGAGCCATAGCTCTACTTCCAGCTTTTTTGCTGGTTAATTAAAGGTAAGAGCCCTATGAACTTTTC